GGAGGAGGAGGAGGCAGAGGAGGAGGAGGAGGCGCCACCAGTCTTCCAACCCGCCTCGGCCCTGCCCTCAGGTGGGGCGGCCGTGGCCTGCGGCGGCCGCTTCGGCGTCGCTGCAGCCGCCGGCGGTGGCGCCGTCCGTGGGCGCGGCCTCGGCGGCAGCGGCTCGGCCGTGGCCGTGCGCACGGAAGCCTGGCTGCAGGACTCCTCCTCCTCCTCGCTGCTCTTCCTCCTGTTCCTCCTCCCCCCCTTCCTCCTCCTCCCTCCTCCTCCTCCCTCCTCCTCCTCCTCCCCTTCCTCCTCCTCCCCTTCCTCCTCCTCCTCCGCCTCCTCCCCCGTGTTGTTAGTATTCACTCTCTCCCTCACCATCCTCCTCTCCCTCCTCCTCCCCTCCACTATTACTTTATATGAATACTGCTCTCCTCTGATCCCTGGTGGCGTCCAAGGATCGTCCGGCCCCCCTCCGCGTGCTGTTTTTTACGCGCAGGGTTCCCGGGAGTTTTTTTGGGGGGAGGGGGGGGGGGGGGGGCAAAATGCTGCTCTCGCTGAAGCGTTGGCCTCACTTTCGGGCTACCGCTTGTTCCGAATCGTGCTCCCGCTGCAGCGCTGGCCTCATTTCCGCGCTTCCGCTCATTCCGAATCGTGCTCCCGCTGCAGCGCTGGCGTGATTATTTCCAACGCCATGCCACGGCATGGTTTTCGGTCCTTCCAAATAGGCTCCCAAATCTAGAATATCGTCCTCCGATAAATCCATCAGAAGTGATTACACATTCTGTGTCGATTCGTTGACTTTTGGGGCCGCAATCAACCCCCACCCACTTTGGGGCTTCGCCACATCATGCTATGTCAGGCTACGCGTCCTCCGAATCGCGTTCCCGCTGCAACGCTGGCCTCATTTCCGCGCTTCCGCTCATTCCGAATCGCGCTCCCGCTGCAACGCTGGCGTCATTATTTCCAGCGCCACGCCACGGCATGGTTTTCGGTCCTTCCAAATAGGCTCCCAAATCTAAAAAATTGCCCCCCGAATAAACCATCGGAAGCGATTGCACATTCGGTGCCAATGCGTTGATATTTTGGGCAGTAGAAGTCCCCACCGTGGACCTTACAAAACGATCTGGCTGGAAAGCGCCGATCTGACTTGACCCGAGAGGGGCCTAAGGGCCCAGTGTGAGCCTGGCAGCCCGCCGTACTATTTCCTGACATCCGTCCTTGCCCGCCGTAACTTCCCCCGCCACCGCCGCCGTCGTCGTCTGCGTCGTTGTCGGCAATTTCTGTACGTTCCCTGAAGCTTCCGGAAGTCTTCGGGCCGTCCGCCACGCCTCGTGCAGAGCTGCCCAGGGAGCCCAGGGAGACTTGGAAGGGGACTCGGGGAACGCACGGCAACGTGTCGTAAGGAAGGGCGGGGGGCCTCACGCTAGCACAATACCCCGACCAATCGGCACCTGGCATTCAACACCGCCCACTTCGGGCAGGCAAAGCTGCGCAGGACATAGAGCCGGGATTCCGCACAGGCCGTCTCCTTCCGTGCACGGGCCATTACCCTCCAAAGCATCCCGTGCCATGGCATGGCGTTCAATGCGATGTTGCGTTGTGCTCCGCTGTGCGAGGCCATGCTTCGCGATGTTACGCTTTGTGATGCAATGCTACACTACGCATTGCCAAGCCAAGCTATGACATGCTCTGCTCTGCTGCGCTCCTCTACACCATGCTATGCCGTGCTTCACGATGCATCGCAAACCCTCTCGGGATCATCGCATTGTTCGACATCAGCCTGTGCGCATAAAGAAGAGATCTGCGCCATGGTAAGGGCTGGGAGGGAAGGGTATGACGACACACACACACACACACACACACACACACACACACACACACACACACACACACACACACACACACACACACATATATATATATATATATATATATATATGACGCGAGCGCGCCTAGCTTGTCCTCCTCCCCTCCTCCTCCCCTCCTCCTCCTCCTCCTCCTCCTCCTCCTCCTCCTCTTCCTGAAAACAAGCTTCCGAGGTGTCCACATCATGCAGAGAAGACGCACCCGACACTCGCCCGCAGGAGCTGGAGTCAACGCACTCGCCCGAAGGATCGAGTATCACATGAAACGACAAACCAGAACGGGAGGCGCAACTCCAACGAACGAGGGGGAGCATGCACCCTTGACGGGAAGCGCAACCCAACGAACGTGGGGCGCATAGGGAATAGCGTATCGGGCAGAAAAACTGATACACTTGGCGCACCGAGAAGACTGCTGAGCGACGCTCACTGGTAGACGATATGACGGCTCCTAGCCCCCATGTGGCCGTACGAGGCGACGAGACGAGAGGGAGGGGGCAGCGGAAGGAGGGCGGAAGGGCGAGGCAGGGGGAGGGGGAAGAGGTAAGATGTAGCCACACCCCAGTCGCCTGTCCAAGTGATGGCCTCCGCTCAGAACGGGTCCCCGCAAACATACTGGGCACTCATCCCGACGAGCAGTTTGGGCCGCGCCTGGCCGCTGCGCGACGGAGACTCAAGAGAGCTGCAAGACTTGTACAGCCTGGCTCCTGGGGCAAGATCTGGGCTTCAGAACGATGGAGAGACCATTGTGGCCCAACTCCCAGCAAGCACGTCCGTAGAAACACCCCCTGGCACCATGCATGGAAGGCGTTCGAGAACAGCCCGAAACCGCTGAGCGTTCTCGCCCTCGCCAGGCCCGGGCGGTGGGCAGCACCATGGGGCCGCGCGTCAGGACGCCTCCTCCTCTTGCTCCTCTTCTTCTTCTTCTTCTTCTTCTTCTTCTTCTTCCTTCTCCTCCTCCTCCTCCGCTCGCTCCTCTTCTTCTTCTTCCTCCTCCTCCTCCTCCTCCTCCTCCTCCTCCTCTCGGCTGTCGCTTCCCCTGGGAGTGGCATCCGCCTGGCAGCTGCGAGCTGTGACTCGCGCCGTCACGGAGGACCGAGCCGGACCGACCCTCCTCCTCCTCCTCCTCCTCCTCCTCCTCCTCCTCCTGCCTGGGGCGCGCGGGGTGGGACATCGGCCCAGGAACCGTTCGTGGAGGCCGTGCCTGCGCGCAGGCCCTTCTGGGAGCCCTTCCCGCCCCACTCCTCGGGGGCGGGCGGCGGGCGGCAAGGCTGCTTGTACCATTTCCGCTCGCGAGGATGGAGGGGATGATGAAGGTGATGATGGTGGTGATATCGAGATGGATTTTCTTGATCGATTCTTGCATTAACCAAAAAGAAGACCAGCATTTTATCGATGAGGGCGCGCCGCTGGATGTCCCCAAAGGGGGGGGGTGGGACCTCCCCCCCCCCCCCCGATCCGTCGTCGGGGACCCCCCCCTCCTTTTCTTGATCCGTTGTCGGCGAATCCTCCCCTCTCCCCCCCTCCCCCCCTTTCCCGGTTCGTTGTGGGGGACCCAACCCCCCTCCTTTCAAAGGGGGGGGGGTGTCCGACCCCCCCCCCTCCCCCCCTTTGGCCGCCAAATTCGAACCCCCCCCCCCCCCTTTCGCCACGGCGCCTCTGGTCTCCGGAACCCGACCCTTACCACCCCTAACACTAATCCTCACCCTTGCCGTAACCCATAACCCGAGCCCCAAACCCAAACCCTAGCCCCAAAGAGTACCCACTACTCATTACGCACTACTCACTACCCACAACTCACTACTCGCTACTCACTACTCCTACTCACTACTCACTGCTCACGACTCACTACTCACTACCCACGACTCAGTACCCACTGCCCGCTACTCACTACTGCCTATTCCCTACTCACTACTCACTACTCACTACAAACTACTCACTACTCACTACCCACTACTCACTGGTCGCTACTCGCTGGACACAGCTCACTACCCACTACTCACTAATCGCAAATCACTACTCACTACCCACTATTCACACAACACTACTCACTACTCACTGCCCACATCCTATTCACTATCCACTACTCGCTACTCGCTACTCCGTACACAATACTCACTACTCACTACTCGCTATTACCTACGACCTACTCGGTACCCAATACGCACTGTTCACTACCATTGCGCACTGCTCACGACGCTCCCACTACTCACTACTCACTACCCACTGCCCGCTACTCACTACTGCCTATTCCCTACCCACTACTCACAACTCACTACTAACCACTCACTACCCAATAATCAATACTCACTACTAACTAAGCACTACTCACTGCCCACTACTCACTACTCACTGAGCAGTACACACTACCCACTATCCACTACTTACTACTGAGTACTCACACTTCACCACTCACTACGCACTGCCCACAACTCACTACTCAATATCCGCTCTCGATACCCGATACGGAATATTCACTACCCACTACGCACTACTCGCTACTCACTACTCAATCCTCCCTACTCACAAGTCACTGAGTCGCAAGTCGCTAGTCACTACTCACTACTCACTACCTCACTACTCACAAATCTATACCCGCTACTCCCTCCTCACTACCCACTACTCAATACCCACTTTCACTACTCACTACTCATTACTCACTACTCACTACTCGCTACTCCCTGCTCGCTACGCACTACTCCCTACTCACCCACTACTGACTCCTGACTATTCCCTCCTCACTACTCACTACTCACAACGCCCTACTCGCTACTCACTACTCACTACTCGCTAGTCCCTACTCGCTACTCCCTACTCGCTACTTGCTACTCGCTCCTCGCCACTTACTACTCACTACTCTCTACTCACTGCGCACTACTCACTAATCACTACTCACTCCTCGCTATTCGCTACTGTCTACTCCCTCATCCCTACTCCCTGCCTGCTACTCACTATGCACTACTCACTACACACTACTCACTCCTCACTACTCACAATTCCTTACTCACTACTTCCTTCCCACGACTCACTATTCACTAATCTCTACGCACTACTCACTACTACCACTACCCATTACCCACTACTCACAACTCATTACTCACGACTCACTGCGCACTACTCGATGTCAAATACGCACTACTCACCAATCGCTACTCAAGACACTCTACTCTGTACTCACTACCCGAGAGGCCCCCTCCCCAGCCCCCTGTTCGGCGCAAAGGGGGGGGGAGGAGGGGGGGGGTTCGAACCCCCCTTTCTTTTTCCAGCGCCAAAGGGGGGGGGGAGGGGGAGGGGTGGTCGAAAATCTCACCCCCCTTTGAAGGGGGGGAGGTGTGTGTGTGTGTGTGTGTGTGCGAGCACCCCCCTCCTTTGTGTATTCACGGACATCCACTGGTGCGCTTTGCTTATCGATCCCCTGTGAAAGACCATGTCGAAGGGATGACCTCCACAGGAGGGGAGGGGAGGCGGGCGTAGAAGAGGGGGCCGGGTGACCCGTAGACAACATGAACCCTCCGTGCGTTCAAGAGCCAACAGCGCGGCCAGATCACCGACAAAGGAACCTCAGCCGGACAGCCCAGCTCGAGCAGCTGAGCGTGACGCGCCGTCAGGCGAACAACGAGCGCATGCATGAAGGCAACCCACGCCCCCCCACACCCACCACATCACATTCTGTGTGTTCGAAGCTTCTCTCTGGGGCCTGCGGCCCGACGTCCGCCGTCGGCTGTCTACGCCCCGGGAGTAGCCGCTGGCAAACTGCAGCAACCGCATCCGCTCAACGGCGGTCAAGGTCTTTATACAACAAAACCGGTTTTCGTTACTATCGCCCACAGGTGTGGCATGAGAAATGCAACGCGCGATGGTCCCTGTAACGTGGTTCGCACCGTGTCTTCGCGCACATGTGTTGACGCTTTTGATGAGTAGAATTGCGAGTCCAGTGGCGCGCCAAAGCTGTGTTATCACAGCGGGCAACGGTTTCTACAACGATTTGTATCACCATGAATGCGGCGGCTCATATTGAGCAGGGACCGACCGTCCCGGCATTCCTATATTCATATCGCGAAATGGTGTAAGAACCCAACAGTGTTCTAATAACAAGAAACACTGTTCTTATAACATAAGCCCAATGCGATAAAACAAGACCGACTCCGCCATACATGTTCCAAGAACATTTCGTGGAGACCATAAAAACGTTCTCAGAGCATTGTTTGGTAGGGCTAGCGGCGAGCCCGGACGCTCCGCCACTGCTTGGTCGTGGTATCCGCCGCGAGAGCGCGTCGACCACATCGGCCCGTTCGGCTCGCGGCGCTGGCGGCCGCGAGCGCGTCTGCAGAGCCGGCGGGCCGCGCCTGGCACGGTCGCTCTAGGCTTAAATCGGGCGCGCCCCCCTTGGGGGAGGCTTCGACGAAACATTCAAAGTACTCAAAAAATACCTCCACCTGGTCAATATATATATATATATATAATATATATATATATATATATATATATATATATATATATATATATATATATATATATATATATATATATATACATATACACATATATAATGGTGCCCAGGCTATTTTGGACTATTTTTGAATATCCCCCCCTGTAGAGGGACAGGCCCGACTTAACTCTAGGTAGCGCGGAACAAAAAGGCGGCCGCGGAGGCGGAATTTCTGGAATTGCGCTCTGATTCGCCGAGGAGACGGTCAGCTTAGTGCGGCACTCACTAGCTACTGGCAGAAACACGTGGTATCTAGCAGCAGGGGCGCCAACGTGTAGATGCTCGGGAGACGGAAGGAGTGACGAACGAACAACACACACCCATACCCATGGGGAGGTCGGAGGGAGAAGGACTGGCCATGGGTATGGGTGCGGGTTGTCGGACCCCTGGGGAGGCTCCCGTTCGAGCGGGGACCCCCATCCGACAACACGCACCCATAGCTCATTCCTTCCCCCATATGGGTATGGGTGCGTGTTGATCGTTCGTCAAGGAGGGAGGCCCGAACCGCGGAGGCCGAGAGATGGGCGCGCGCAGGCGGCCTCACGCAGCGGGAGCCGGTGCACTTCCGGGTGGATGGGGTCAGTCCCAGCTGTCGAAACTGGGGCAGGGCCAGCTTCAACCGCGGGGCACGCCAGCAGCGAGTAAGCCAGGGACAACACGTAGAAGGGTTGCTAAGACCACACAAGGTCGATGTCGACGTCAAAGGTGTTTTGGACAAATGTAGAAGTCCTCCTGGTGGGTGTGAGTTGGGCATTCTCTCTTGAATGTAGCCGCGCATGCGCTCACCCGCGCACTTACCCCCCACGCGCATCCAGTCGTTCAGGCGCGCCTGCCGTTGATTCCCCCGCCCCTTGGTTGCGGCGCATCACAACTATTCCAAATATCAAGCGTCAATGGCAATGGACATTTGGACTTACAGGGGGGTAAACGAACTGCTGGTCGCTATGCATGGTCTACTTGTCACTGTTGGCAAACGCGGTGTGTCGCCACCCTGCTGGCTGGGCGAACCACTCTGGCTGGTGGGATGCCCAGCAAATCGCTCCGCCCGCGTAGTCGCACACCTCATCTTGGCGCTTAGGGAATTGCGCTGTCGTAGCCGCCATCATGCGCTTGCGAAAGGTCCCGAGCAGCGGCTGATGACGTGGCGAAGGACGCAGCGCGGTGGAGCACAAGCGCCAAAGATAATCAGCAACGGAAGGGGCAAAACAAACACCGCTGATGGACGGCATACGCGCACATCAGAGATGCCTGCATCTGGGTTTTTTCCTTCAAGAGCAGCGGGCCCGCAGGAAAGGTTGCGCACAGACACAAATCGCAAGCCATGCCCAAACACGATCTTTGGAATTCCCATTCGCCAAGTCCAAAAGATCGGGATGATACAGACTTCACAAACGGAACACCAGCTCCTTAGGCTGCGGGGCGGGATGGACGATTCTGGTCCAGAGCTGGCGCGGGGATAAGTTAGGACTCCCAGAGAAAGCCCAGTCAGGAAACATGAAAGAGGACGCGTGAGGACATGCAAAAACGCTCAAACCAACTTCTTTTGTTAATGACGCTCTTCCTCGTCGTCGTCCTCTCCTCCTCCTCCTCTCCTCCTCCTCCTCCTCTTCCTCCTCCTCTTTATCCCTGAGATACGACGACGCGGAAAACATATAACATCGCGAAAAAACCGCTACCGGAGGTTCAGACCGCATCAATCTGCACCATTTTTCGAGCCAGATCGATCTGCGAGCTTCCTGGGACCCGAATCGGGCGAAATCGCCCTGCTCGAAACCATTGAGACGCCAGGATCTCCGGGATTCCGCAGCCCTCCTCGCCGTTCCCATCTTTCTGATGATGCAGCCCCTCCTCCGCCTCCTCGATGATGATGCGTTCGCTGCAGATGCTATTCCAAAGTGCTGGGCAGCGACTTGTGCGAGCTCGGCGGGGATCTCGCACGACTCCCGCTGTACCCTTGCTGTGCTGAGCGGGTTCGACCCTTTCTGATGATGCAGCCCCTCCTCCGCCTCTCGACCCTCCTCCATCCCTCCTCCTCCTCCTCCTCCTCCTCCGCCTCCTCCTCCCCCTCCTCTCGACCCCCCTCCACCTGCCACCGTGCTCCCCCTGGCACGCCGAAGCGCGGTGGACTGCCCAATGCTGTCTGGTAGGGCTTCGGTGCACCTTCCCGGGGACTCTCCCCTGGGACAAAGTTCTGCGATACCAGGCCCAGACATGTTCGAATCGTGAAGATTATCCCGGCGAAGGACCCGACCATGTATCGTCGTGGGCAACGCAGTTGTGAGCATCGTCCTCAGTGGAGCTCCCTCCACGAAACGTGTGATGGGGTGTGCCGACATGGCGATGCGGTGGGCGGGGAGCCGCATGCGAACCGTGCCACTGGGGCCTTCTGTGGAGCTTCCTATGGGGCCACGAAGCGTGTGAGGGGTGTGCAGAAATTAACGTGCGGTGGGAGGGGAGCCGCATGCGAACCCTGCCACTGGGGCCTTGGGTGGAGCTCCCTATCGGCCACGAAGCGTGTGAGGGATGTGCCGAACAAGGACGTGCGGTGGACGGGGAGCCGCATGCGAACCCTGCCACTGGGGACTTCGGTGGGGCTCCCCAGGAGGCCTTGAAGCGTGTGAGGGGTGTGCCGAAATGGACATGCGGTGGGCGGGGAGCCGCATACGAACCCTGCCACTGGGGCCTTCGGTAGAGCCCCCTATGGGGCCACGAAGCGTGTGAGTGGGGTGCCGAAATGAACATGCGGTGGCATGTGAACTCTGCCACTGGGGCCTTGGGCGGAGCCTCCTTATGGGGCCACGGAGCGTGTGAGGGATGTGCCGAAATGGACGTGCGGTGGGCGGGGAGGCGCTTGCGAACCCTGCCACTGGGGCCTTCGGTAGAGCTCCCTATGGGGCCACGAAGCGTGTGAGTGGTGTACCGAAACGGACGTGCGGTGGTGAACCCTGCCATTGAGGCCCTTCGGTGGGGCTCCCTACGGGGCCACGAAGCGTATGAGGGGTGTGCTGCAATGGACGTGTGGTGGGCAGGGAGATGCATCCGAACCCTCCCACTGGGGCCTTCGGTGGATAGAGCTCCTGATGGGGCCACGCAGCGTGTGAGGGGTGTGCCGACGTGGACCTGCGGTTGGAAAGGAGCCGCGGGCGAACGCGGTCCAGTGGGGCCTTCGGTGAAGCCTCCTTATGGGGCCACGAAGCGTGTGAGGAATGTGCCGAAATGGACGTGCGGTTGGCGGGGAGCCGCCTGCGCACCCTGCCACTGGCTACTCTTAGGTCGGGCATATCCTCCTACAGGCGGGCTTGTGAGGAAAACTTGAAAATAGAAAATCATCGAAACATAATCGAACCATCGTCCCCATAATATTTTTGGACTATTTTTGAATACTCCTCCTGTAGAGGGACATGCCCGACTCAAAGCTACTCCGCTCCCGCTCCCAGCGACCGCCCTCCGACCGGCCATCCCTCCTCGCCACTTGCCCGGGCCCAGCCAGCCCTGTCCCATCCTGGCGCTGCCCCAACCGCGGCGGAGTGTGCTCGCTGATGCGGACCAAGTCGGGGGGATGATGATGATGATGGTGCTGATGATGATGATGATGCTGCTGCTGATGATGATGATAATGCTGCTGCTGATGATGATGCTGATAATGTTAATGATGATGATG